TATAATCGGAATGAGTCAATGACTTTTCTGTTCGTTGGTTTGCCTGTGCTTGAGTTAAAGTATTGAAACGATTATTTCTAATATTTGTGTTATTATCAACGTCTTCCTCGTCACTACTACTTATGCATGCATCATTGATCGTTTTCATTAGGTCTTTATTATCTTGATATTGATCTTGATCATCATCGTCTTCGTCACTAAACATTATTTGTCCTTTTACATCATTGTTCTTGCTCATATCCAATTGTGTTGTTTGCTGTAATTCTGGACAAGTTGTAACATCGTAATATTCATCTATTGATCCTGTTGCTGTTTTTGACGTAGTATATGATTCTGTATCTGTATCAGAATTCTCCTCCTCTTCCTCTTTCGATATACGCTTCCGTTGAGTAAACATTATATATATATCTTGTAATCGTTTAGCACTTTTTTATTTAACGATATAATACAGCAAAACAAGTCTTATTATATAAAGCTAAAGAAAGAAAATTGAAGGTTGAGGGATATAATAACGTCGATAAACAAGTGTCTACGCATAAGCATAAGTGTACGTCAATGATGAAAAAAAACCTATTAATTTCTTCAATATATGGCCGTGAGAAAAAAGAATGAAAAGTAAATCAAGCATAACCATAAAATAAAAAAAGAATATTATGGTCGTGTTTATTTATGAGATAAATGAATCATTATTCATACAAAGTCATGTTTCATATTATTTATTACATGTACAAATACGTATATTTGTTTCGTATTGTTTTATGATCGATGTATCTACGAATACATGTATAAAAAAAATGTTATTTTAATTTCGTATCATCAAGGATAATTGTCTAATAAAGAAGGATAAGATTATGTAGGTGTGTACGTGTGAATACGTTCATTTTACCGCTTTGATGTTAGTATATATATATATATCTTTTTCTCTTCCTCTTATACATATTCATAAAAATATTCAAACGCTTGCAAATGGATTAAAAGACTTGTTCGTTTGTCCGTTCAACTAACATACTCTCGACGGATAGTTGTTATGAAATAACTTTATTTCATAGTGAACTGTCATACGAGAGTTTTGAAAGGTATGCATGATGTAATAGACAGGAAAGAGAGAAGAAGAAGAAGAGGAGAGACTTTTTTTTTATATATATCACGTAATCTTAAGTCGCAGTCGATTGACAATTTTTCTTTTTTTTTTCTTCTCTTGTCCTCCTTTCCATGATGTGTGTCTGTCTGTACATGTAAATTACTACGATAATAAACGTTTACTTATGTTTCTAATGAAAAAAATCGTTCGAGTAAGTTCAAATCTATCAATTAATCTATCAATGAATGACAACAATACTGATGATTGTTGTACATGTCAATAGTAAAATGCTTTTTCTCCCTTTTTAACCTCATTGATTGTGTACAATAAAAGAAGAAAAAAAGAAAGGAGGCTGAAGTAAAGAGGACAGGTCAACTCTATTATTATTCTTTCATTGTGCGTCAAAGATATACTAAAAAATAGATGCCTTTTAATCGCCTACGACGTTGGGTGAGTATATTTACACTATAGATATTGTTGAATATAATCAAATAAAAAACAAAAAAATAGAATTTTTGTACTTTATTGTTACAATTAATTTTAGCGAGCACTTCTGCTCTGTCGATTCGAGGTAAGCTCGATAAAATATGATAAAACGAAAGCATGTTTTATTCGCATGAGCATCTTGTATTGAAAATGATATTATATTATTTTTTTATTATTCAATAGAATCTTATTTTTTTATTTTTTTATAGAATCATGGTGATGATCATATTTATTCGACATATGATGAAAGCTTCAGCAGTGAATCTATTTCATCAAAAGATACGCATAGTCATTCAAGTATGTCAACATGATTCTTATCTTGATCGATATTACTATGAAATAATTTTTCTTTTTTTGCATTATCTTTAGATTCATCTGATGGAGGTATATCATTAGGTCATGGAAGTTGGATGAGCAGTCAAATAAATGTGTATGATCAAATATGTTATGACTCAATTCAAACTAATACAGATAATAATTTAACATCGAAATATGAAGATACATCACCACCTTACACTCCAAGTTATTTATCTGATGATACAAGTGAACATTATTATTATCGTTTACCAACACCAGCATCGTTAGTAACAGATGAAATGTTTCCATCTAAATCTCAACAAAAACAAACAAATTCGAAGAAAGAATTACATAAAGAATTAGCTTATCGACAAAAAATGTAAATAGATTTTATTCTAGTACAATAAAATATGATTATTTTAGGGGTCAATTATTACCGAAAAAACCTGAATTACTTGATGTTTTTAAACATCGACGTGAAGAAGAAAAAAAACGTGAAACTGAACGAACGCGTGAACAAACAAAATTAGAACAAATTCTTGCACGACAACGACAAAAACTTGATGAAGTATTTATTATATAAAAACAAAAATTCAAATTTTATTTATTTACTATTTTTTGTTTAGACAAATAATATTTGTTCAATATCAAGTAATAAAAGTGCATATTCAAATGAATTCGAATTTGTTTATCATCGAATTCGTCAACAACAAAAAAATAAAGAATGACATTTTTGTTTCTTGTTTTTCAATGTGTTTTATGCTCTTTTAAAAAGAAAAATACACTTTTTGTTTCTTTCTCTCTTTCAGATAAAAAGAGACTAATAATAAAAAAAAACTAGAATATATAAATATATCATTGCTCAAGTAGTTCTCAGAATATGTCACTTCTTCCAATGATCATCAATATACCATTTCGATTTGTATTTTTCATTATTTTATTTTATTCACCATGCTCAACAATGATCATGAAAAATAGTGTATATGATATTGATTCATGTTATACATGTACAAAAATAAGCGAACAATTTGTTGAGGTAGTATTTGAAATTTAATATAAAATGATATTTTTCATTCAATGAATTTTATAGAGTTATAAAAAAACGGCTGGAAGTAATTTTGGAGGGTAAAATAATTTACAAAATTGATTTTATTTTAATTATTATTTGTTTTAGAGGTAATACAGATTGGGAAGAAAAAAAATTAAAAGGATATGCAAAAAGGTAAATAATAGATTTTTGACTTTTCATTCTAATATATTGATTGATCAATTAAAATTGTTATTTTCATACATAATTGTTATTTTCATATATGATTGTTATTTTATTTATACTAGTGTAAAAACAACCTATTAAGAAACGTAATAATGTGAATATTTTTTGTCAAATTATAACAATCGTATAAATATGATTATAATACTATTTATAGAATATCATTTCGATAGTGCAATACAATCTATGTTAATTACGAATCTAATGTTTTATTTCGTAATTATTTGCCAAAAATTTTGATTTATTAAGAAAGAAAAAAAAATCAATTTTGAAGTTAATCAAGTTCAATTTCACTACAGACGATAAGAAGTCATCTAAAAATGTTTATTCAAATTAAGCTCTTCAAACAAATAATCTGTTTAAGCTCTTTGTTATTTTATGGCTCTTTTTTTGAAAAAATTTCTATGTGTAGTTAATACTCTTCTAGTATAATTCATTATTTTCAATCTACGAAACGTAACATTCCGTTTTGATTGTGACAAAAAAAATAGAATAATCCACTTTCTATCGTATAAATCAACATTAAATATCAGCGATAGTCATGATTACAAAGTAATCAGCTTCATTGTTCACGAAACAAAAGAAGACAATGATCTGTCACTTTTTTTTACAATATCGATATACAATAGATGATACAGAATATTGTAATTAACGTATACTAAAATTTACCATGATTTTACAGTTATAAACTTTTTCTATTATCAATTCATTTCTCAAAATTAAATAATATATTATAAATATGATTTTTAGTGAAACTCGCCTAATCGAAATAATGGAAAATTCATGTCCAAAAACTGAATCTCAAGTTAGTTGAAATTTGTTTTATAAGACTGAAATATCTTTTAAGTTTTATTTATTTATTTAGTGTAGTACTTTTCTTGAAAAATATGAAGATGAAATTGAAGAATGGTATCAAACAAGTTCATCAACAGAAATTGATAAGTTCTTTAAATGGTTATGTATTGATACAGCAAAAGTATGTTGTCCTGATGGAACATTTGGTAAAAATTGTCGACGATGTCAATATGGTGATAATGGACGCGTCTGTTCAGGCAATGGAAATTGTGAGGTATGTCGACAGAATATTTTTTCTTATCAAAACAATTCATTTGTATTATTACAGGGTGATGGTAAAAGATCAGGTAATGGTCGTTGCATTTGTGAAACAAAATACAGTGGAACAAATTGTTCAAATTGTCAAAGTGGTTATAAAAAAATAATTACTGATAATAAAGACGTGATATGTTCAGGTAAGAAAAAAAAAGTACGAATTTATCTTTATTATATTTTCTTATTTTAGATATTAATGAATGTCATTCAAATTTCTTTCTTTCGCCTTGTGTTCTTCGTAAATGTAATAATACAGAAGGTGCATATGAATGTTACGGTTAGTTATTTTTATCTAGAAATATTTTTAAATGAATTAATTAATGTTTTATATTTATTTAGGTGAACCATTCTATCAGGAATTATCAAAAATGACTACATTAGCAGTTCTTCTAATTACTATTAGTATTTTTATGTATAAAGAAATGTATAATCTTGCTACATTAACCTGTGTAATAACGTCAGTACTATTAGTACTTTTCGTTCATCATATTTTGTGATAAAATCCGGTATTCTATATAGAATCAAAAAGAAGACTTTCATTAAAAAAAATCAATTCTATTTCATGTATTTGTTTGTTTTTTTGCAGTATTATTTTATTCTTGTATTCTGTTTTTTGTAGTCAATACTGATTTTATTATATCTCATCAAATTTTATTTGGAATAGGATAAAAATCTTTAATTTCATATACTAACAAAAATTCACAAGTAATATTAAATATACGATTTTATGAGCCAAATAATTATAATAAAATAGAACTAGGTGTGGGTGTTTATATCATGTAGAACCATCAATGCTAACATAACATAGATGAACTTCTAATGGAATTAATTGATTCTATCAAATAAACAAATCATTGTATTAAGAATATATAATCAAACGATTGATCTAAATCATATCTTCACAAGAAACGATCTCATCTATTTTCAATTACTTAACCTTAACAATCATTTCTTGACTATAGAATCTAATTATATTATTTGTAAATCGTACAATATTTTATTAAAAACATCAGCTGTAGATAAACTTCATTATTTGTGACCTTTTTTGTCTATTGATGAAAAGTTTATATGACAAGGACTATACAATGTTTGATTCATATGATCAGGTATATTCAAATAACTAGAGGATTAATTACAAAATAAATTTTTTCCTATAAATCAAGACTATTGAATGAAAATATCTAAGCATCAATATGTATATATAAATGTCCTTCATTATATCTGCTTTGCGTAGGTTTCTATCATTGATCTTTCTAATAAACAATTCTCCTTCATGCCAATTGAGACAGAAAATATACTATAAATCATATTATAGACAACTATTTATTGATTTTCATTCCAGCCATAATCGTTGTCTCATTTTATCTTAGAATATTAGACAAAAATTTTTATTGTCATATTCAAGGATATGAACAACACGAAAGACAAAATATTCATTGATAATTTTAATTAGTCTATTTACGTGTGACATTAATGGTTAATCGGATATTATTAATATATTTGTCTGTCTGTCTATCTGTTATAGCCTTTACATATGTATAATTCACACCTGGTGATTATTAGTCAATAAACAAAAATGAATTTTTCATATGAAATACATCTGTTATTTATATTAGACATTATATAAATTAATTTTATCTATTAGAAAATATAAACGAAGTTTTTTTTGTTTGATATTCCTATTAAAAATTTCATTATACTAATACTGATTAACTAGTAAATTAATATGAAATAGATTTATATTGTAATAGTAAGATTACTGACACAGTCAACAATAACGACAACACACAAAACACGCACACACACGACATTATACAAAAAAGGGTGTGTTTTGTCTTTTTTTCTCTTTAAGTTTCGTCGATTTTGGAATGACATAAAATTTTTTCTTTTTTTTAACATTTTTGTTTTAATTCAAATTTTCTAAAACGTTCCATTCGTTGTTCCATACGTGGTCGCCACTCAATAGCAACTGATGTACGATCAAGACTTAATGATGTTTGCATTTGATCATAAAAACCCATTAATAAATATTGTTTATCAAGTTTTAAACGTGGACATGCACATTGAACATCTTTACGTGATACCCATATCCATTGTTCACTTTCTTGAATACGATTAAGACGATCTTTATAAACACGTATAATAGTTAATAGATATGATACCCATTGACCAGCATCATGTCGATTAGTTACACGTGCATGTATAGCTAAAAATTAAAATATAATGATATTAAATCTTTAGTTATTTTTGTTAACTTACTATAATCTCGTTTGCAATATTTTTTAACATGTAATCGACGACTATAATAACGACAAGCACCACAATACTGTCCCATATCTATTGAAGGATTATATTCTGTAAAAACTGGACGAACTACTTCTGTAGTTGTAGTAGTAGTAGTAGTGGTAGTGGTGGTTGTCATTGCTGTTGTCGTAGTTGGATTATCATAGCCATTATCATCATTATCTTGTTCTTGATATTCATCTGTATCAGTATTTCGATGATAGACATTATATACTGATAATGATTGAGTATCGAGTGGTTCTAATAGAATAGAATTTAGATTTTAGCGAAAGAAAATATATTAACTTACTAATACATGGAGCAACAGGTGATTTTGTTTGTTGATAACCTTTCATACATCGATCACATCTCAAACCAATAACACCATCTTTACATGAGCATTGCCCAGTTGTTTGATTACATACTTTACCACGTGAACCAACAGGATGACAATTACAGTCTAAACGAAAAAAAAGAATGTTACTATCAAGACAGAATTAATTACAAAATAGCTCATTGTAAAGACTATATTCATCGATAGTATAGACAATTCAATTATATCAATTTGTCTTGTTTCAACACAGACACAATAATATACCATATAATAAATAGTTTATCTATTTTACTGATGGCTATAGATTTAATTACGGAAACTAACCATATATTTTCTAACAATCATCTATTCTATTCTATTCTCTTTACAATTAGTATAGGTCAATGAAAGAAATCAACTTTGATTTAACCTTGATAGAATGATCAGTATTTCCTTTTCTTTTTTTTTCTATCATTCGGGAAAAAGGCAAGCATAAGTTTCCTCTCTATTTCCGCTTGTAGACACATTCATACAATATGTACACATCTCATACTTCATAATGGAAATCCAAACAATAGACAGAAAGAAAAAAGAAGAATCTATCATTCTACACTTATCACTAATAAGTAACACATATTAAGATGAAATGTAAACATAACTAATATAACTAATATACGTATGCCTGCAAGGTTAGTGAACTGAAAGTAAAAGACATCTATATAAAGATCGATCGAGAAAAGATACACCATCAGACAGTAGAAGAAGAAGATCTCATTAGTTCATCATAAAATAGTGTCTATTTTATTTATACCTCTGCAAATATCTGGATGTGTTATTGGTAAATTTGGATCTCGATAAAATGTTTCTTTGCAATAACCACAATGACGGCCAGCTGTATTATGTTTGCAATTGATACATATTCCACCAGATTTTCGACCAGACAGAAGATAAAGTTCTTTATTGAAACGACATTGTCGTGAATGATTATTACAACTACATTCTATAAATACATAAAATAATTAAAATCTATATTTAAATAAATAATAATAGATATTAATTGTTATTAAGATGTCTATCATTTATTTATACTTCTCAAGCTTTATATCGAATTATATGAAAAACCTTCCTTATAAGAATAATCATATGTATTATATTGACGATTAACACAAATGTTACTAGATTTATTTCCACTTATCTAGTGAAGTTTGGTGTCAAAACGATACTTTATTGTATAATTCTTACAATTACATAAGAATAAAAAACGACCTTTAATATGTATATTTATATAAATATAAATTCTATTTTTGAATGACATAGTAACATGTATGATCTAATATATTGTATGCATAACTTTATAAAATCTTGAATGATATAAAAAAATAATCTAATATCTTACCAATACATTCATTTGCATCACGTGGTGTTGCACGAGCCCATGGTCGATCATAATGAAAATCTTTGCAACGTTCACATTCATCACCTGCTGTATTATGTTTACAATCACATATTAAACGACCATCACTAGAAGATATATAATTAAAAAGTGGTTCTATTTAAATATTATACATGTCGTCATAGATACATATAATCAACATCCCTCAAGCATTTGCATTTTTAAATATATTTATATATACGTCAAAAGAATGGAATCAAAACGTATATGAAAACAAGTTTCAAGTGGTTTGTGTGAACGAGAAATATGATCAGTGTGAACATGCTTCTGATTTTTCAAGTGCATTGCTATATGATGACTGATCATTAAAAAAAAAGTATCATCGTTCAAGTTTCTCCCTTCTTTTTTTATATGAGTTTGTTAACTTCCGTGACATTATTTTCCCTTGTGAACGATAGAATCGTTAACAATAGAAACAATTGATCTTGATTTGATCATTTATGCAGGGAAAAAACGAGGAAACAATGTGTAAATGACCATCGTATCGATTAATCATCATACTGACATACACACACCTTTTGCTATTCTGTTTCTCATTGAATATTCAATTGACACTTGTCTAATGTTACATCATCATTCAAAGAACATTAAGATTCTCTATATCTATCTTTATGTATCTTCGATTGACAGCTGCCATTGCAAGGTCAGTTGAGCAATGCTAGTATATGGTATGGGGTGGATATGGTTGTTTGCTCTACTAACCTAAACAAATAAGACAAAAGCCTAGCTGTTGTCTCTGTATATACAGATAAAAGTGACATTTGTCTATGTATACTTGTATTGATGAGCAAATCTCATTTATTTGAGTAAACGTTACACGGAAGAGATGATCGATTTGATACACCAATCATTCTTTATCACCTTTTTTTATTCTCACACGTACACATATGATGTATTTCACTGAACCGAATAGGGTACAAAACAAAATTGTGTATGATTTATTTTCTTTTTATAACTTCAATATCTATCATCAATAAGCATCACATCATAAAAAAAAGAAACTGGTACTCATATATTTTCTAGACATGTTTAATTAAATATCTTTCAACATCTCTCTCTCCTTCGGGTTTTTTTTCAATATATGTCAATCGATAATCATGGTCAATTGATTTAATAATAAGAAAAAGGAAATTTGATCTATCTAACGAAAGAAAATTCTTTATTTTTTTTCTTTCTCTCTCTCTCTCTCTCTGTCTATTAAAAGAACGATTCTACAAGATAAATACTCATACCTATTTGTAAGACATTTTGATCCATGTCCATTACATTTACATCGACCTCCAACAGCAAAATCAGCAATAGAATAAAAATTTTTATCTATATTTGTTGAGAGTAAAACAATTTTAATATCTGTAGCTGTAACCCAATCTTGTAAAACTGGACTTGTATCAAATTCATAAGCTGATGGACGACCTTCAAGTGTACTAAATGCAATACGTGATTCACTGATTGATGATGATGATAATTGTGATTTTGTATCAATACATAAAGCTTCTTGTTCATTTGCACGTGTTATTATTCCATATGAAGTTTTATTAAAAATTTCTTCACAATTATTTGAATAATACTGTAATGGTATCCAAGATGAACCCTATGAAAGAAAAAAAAAATCATTTTTTTAATTTTATAATTCAATAGAAAATATGAGTTTTTTTATTCTAACCATATCCATACTCTTAAAAATAGCCATAGATTCTGGTTTATTATCTAAACAAAATTGTAAACTAATATAAGTTAATTCGAATTTTTTATTTAATGATAATATTAATGAAACGTTTTCTCCAGATTTAATTATATCTGATTGCCAACATGTTAAATTATTTGGATTATTAATATCGGTTAAATAATCAGTTGGATAACTTGTTCTTATTTGTGATATATCACATAAATGACACACATTTTTCTTTGAACAAAATTCTTTTGCAGGATTACCACATGTTGATGATGCATAGATTGATTTATGAAAAGCTGCATTTACAAAATCGGGTATACATCGTTGATAACGATTATGACGGTCAATACATGGATCATCATGATTTGAATAAAACATTCGATACCAACGATTTGCTGTACATAATGACGAAAAAAATAACAGGACATATAAAGATTTGATTAAGAACATATTCTCTTCGTTTTTTGATTTTGTTCAGATTCTTTCTTCTTTTTTTTTACATTCTAAAATAGAAAAAAACGAAATACATGTGTTGCGTGTTTCCTTCTGACATCAATTTAGTATGTTATATGAAATTTGAACAAATGTGCGCCTGCTGCTTCTCTTTGTCTGTCTCTCACTCATTCACTCTGTGTATATATGGATGAGTACTATTATTTATACAACAAAAGAAACTGAAGGAAAAAAAGTGAGAGTATCAAGCAAAAAAGAGAATTTCATGATATATTGACATTTAACTTACCTCATATTCTTGTAAAAAATGCTCTTGCTATTATTCTATGAACGACAACTATAGTGATTTAATTTACTTTGATTTTTGACAGAAGAAGCAATACATATACAACAACAAAAGGAATGACTTCTCTGTCTCTCCCTTTCTCTGCTATAATCCCTTCTTGACTTTTCTCTCTTCTCTTCTCTTCTCTTCTCGTATTGAGATGTGTTCATTTGCACAAAAAGATCTCTCTCCATATATATATATATATGTATGTATGGCATGTTCTCTTTCCGGAGAAACAGAGAGAGAGAGAAGAAGGGAATACACAATCGTATGAAGAGAAGAGATGGAAGACGACAGAGTTACGAAAAAAAAGACATGTATACAATGATGGCAAAATTTTTTAATTAGTCTTATATTCAATAAAGTTTTATTAATGTCTGAATGAAGAAAGAATATATAAAGACAAACAAATAGTTTCTATCTTCTCAAATAACGATATTGAACTGATTATATTCTCAATTGAATATATGAAGCAAAAAAATAGCAATCATGAAACAAAATTCTACAAACAAAAAAGTTGTCTCGAGAACTTGTTATATTAGCTCTTCAGAATAAAACTTCTCCTATTATTACTTAAAAAGAAATTATATGTGTAAAAGTAAAACTAACTATATTATTAGATTATATAACGGAAAAGAAAACAACTTTTCTATATCGTTGTTTGATAATCCATTTAGACATCTAATCATATGGCTAACGACTTTTTTGTCTCTCAAAAAGTTCGATTAACTTCGTTTTATTTTCGATTATACTCTTCAATAATGAATGCGTACGACAGAAAATGGTTCTACTTAGTAAAGTGAATAAGTGTCAATTAAATACGCTCTTATTTCATTCTTGTCATTCAAGAATACTTATACATGTATTTCCCTTCAATATATAATTCATTGTCATCATCATTTACAATCATTTTTTCTTGAACTATTACGTATTCTTATCATGTTTTTCTGCTATTTAGTTCCTATGGATTTATCCTTATGATCAAAATTAGTTCAATGTGGATATCATCGTCTTACATTATATTGTCTATCATGATATTAATCATGAATTAGAAAAAGATGAAAAAGAACACTATTGATTAGAATGAATGATAAAAATAAAGAACAGACTATAAAAGACATTAGATATATATATATATACATTCATCAATGAGTTTTAAAGAGATTCAAGGTTTTTTATTTTAGTCATTTTTTTTCCTATATTAAAATCCTTGGAAGACAATATATTCAAAACTATGTTATTGTCAGATATTTAACATAATATGATTTATTTCATTGATTTTTATTTCAATTGTATAGAAAAAAAACTTAGTAGTCTCATACTTCAGATATTCGAAAATCCAATTCTTATATGCATGTCCTTTTGTCATTATTATAGAATCATATGATATAAAGAATACTGAATATTCTGAAGAGAGATTTTTTTGAACTCATCTATCCGTCAATATAGCAGAACACCGTTCAATATTTCATATAAGACTGGATACAGGTTATTTGACTCTAATGATAATATAATATATTTTTCTTAAAGAATAAAACATTTTGAGAAGCAAAAATATTCATTTTATTTCAAACTTACAGATTATCATATAATCATGAAACCAATATGTCGACAAAAAATTTAAGTTCTGATTCTTTTCGTAGTTGATGATGGCATATTGCTCCCCTATTAACCTCTGGTGAAAAAATCAATTCAAATGCGACATTGACAGTTCGAAACTTTCTCACTCTTCGTCTCAAGGTAGTCTTCTTTTGTTATTATTAGTTCGATGTTCAACTGGTGACATGCTTCAGGATAAATTTACACTTTATCCTATAAGAAAAAATCGATTAAAAATATAAAATAGTTCAAGTTTAGATTAGAATTCATTATGAAATTATTCAATCTAACTAGTCTGTACAGATTAATCAGCTCAGATAATAATGATAGCAAGTATTATTTTCCTGAAAATATTCTTGTAAATTTAATAGCAATAAGACATTTATCTCTATTGGTAATAAAGCCTTTAGGATTATTTTCGTAAGATAAGACCTTTATTCAAGTTGAAACGTAAACTGATTTTCAATCACTGATTTCTTCATCATAACATTTGAGAAATAAGAAAATTTAAAGACTGAACATCGACAAAATTAGTTTCAGTCATATATAAAATAGTCCATTCAATCAATGAAGTATACGTTGTAATTAAATTATTAGAATTTACGACAGATATGAATGTGGTTGTAAAAAATTATACCAATAATTTATGATACTATTTTGCATTAAATTTTATCTTGTAGAGAAAAATAAGCTGCTTTTTTCATATGATGAAAATGATCTCAGATATATCAGACATGAAGAATCAACTTAGTTCCAGAAAGACTATTGATTTAAGAAAATATGTACTGTTTTTAGTATAAAAACTTTGCAATATGCTACTTTAATACAGTATTAATTCAAGCTTGTCAACTCTATAATCACCGATAATACTGAAAGACTTCACAGGTCTATTCTTGTTGAATATCTGGATTTCTTGTTTTTGCAAAACAATTTTATAAATATTTCATTTAAAATTGGATCAATCAATGTTGTTTCTTCTTTATTTTATGGAAAAAACGAGTTGAAAAAAAAACTGATATAACATCACACGGAGAGATAAAGAGCAAAATAGTTTTGGGAAGGAATTTACTGCTTGATCTACGTTAGGGAAGAAGATTTAAAAATAACTAAATCTATTGAAGTCCATGTGCTTTTTTATATTCTTCTACACGTTTTTGATCAACTGGATAACGCATTTCTTCAATCCAGTCACCAAATTTATGATCAAGTTGATGATGGACAATTGTATATGGTGTATAAGATAAATCAACACCTCGTAATGGTAAATAGAGTGTTGATGCAAAAGCTACAGCCATTATACGTGAAAACCATCGAAATACTTGAGAATTTGAATACCAAAATCGCCATGGTGTACGATAAACCATACTAAAAAAAACAGATTAAGAATTATCTATTTTGAAAATGATTGTTTTTTACCCAAGATAATGATAAGGTAAAATATTTTGTCGGCCTTGTGAACCATAAATGATTTTCATTGTTGAAATAGCGGCGAGAGCTTTGCTACTGCTCATTTTGAAAATAAATCTGAAAAATCGGAGTTTGCAATCGAAATGAAACTAGTTTTAATAAGAAGTTGTAGGATATACTAAACATTAAGGTTATGTTTTCATCAAGGAACATGGGCAAATATCAAAAAAAAGAAAAAGACAAACAGGGCAGGACAAAAAAAAAGATATTTCATTTATTGTCTTTAATCATGAATACCAGGAAAAACTCCACGATCCATTTCATCGTCCCATTTACTGACCCATTCTTCTGGACAAAAATCTTTATAAAGATGTTTAAAATATCCACAAACTTTTTCATCATTTTTCATTTCCATACAACGCTGATAATCAACATAATTAATCCAACATCGTCTGAATAAAAATCAATATTATAATAATAATACGAAGTTTATTTTCTTTACTTTGTTTGATTGACATTTGGAAAACGAGGATCAAGTGGTGCTGAACTCATACGTTCTTTCCAGTATTCTTTAAGACATTGTGAGATACCAGTAGGAAATATTGATGCCCATTTATCATAAACAGACATATTTTTTTTGGCCTAAAATTTCATTTGAATAAATAAATATCGATATATATGTTATTAAAATACCATTTCGAAACGTTCTTCATAGCTTAAACCTTGGTCTCGTGCTTCTTTATCAAGTTTAATATGAATATCTTTACAAATATGAGGATCATAATGTTCCAATTTTGGATTATTGGTCAAATCGGATAAAGCTGTGAGAATGGCTGATGCCGAACTCATGTTAATAAGATTATAAATCTAATCTAATCGAAATGAAATAAAAGAAAATAAATTCAATAACAAAACATATTAAATAAGCAACATCTGATTGTAGTTTATTTTCTTCTAAAACGACAATTGCCATTTTAGGAGCATCAAAACCTCGAATGCAATTTGTTTATTTCAAATAGTACAGATGTCGCTTAGTAACAACTATAAAGGTGGCGCTGATCTACAGCAAAACACCTATATGATTACAATTTGCTTTGGCCAAAAACTTCAAAGCAATAGATAATACAATACTCATTTATATTACTGAGAAAATATGCAGATAATTCACCGGTCAATTTCTTTTTCAAAGTAAATTTATCTTTTACAACTTTGACTTCCAATGAAATGTAATTATCAATGTCAATAAGAAGAAAATACTATGATAATTAGTAAATCGATTAAAAAAAAATATTTCGAGATAGTTCTATAAGAATTTTTTATTTATTCATAATCGTTTAGCTAATAAAGTACATCGATCATGTTCTCCCATATGTTTTAATCGTTCATCACCATATTTTGAATATAAAATTTCATTGACAACTTCATATTGTCGACGTTCAAATGCTTTTCTTGAATATAAACTACTACAAACAACAAATGCACCTTGAATACCCAATTGTCGTGCTTTATCTTCTGATGCTGATATTAATCGGCCACTTACATTTTGACGACGTAGATTTTCATCAACATTAATAATATCAAAATGAAATAAACGATCAGTATTATATAAATCAAATAGATCATAACCATCCGAAACTTTATCAATTAATGAGAAAATAAAATTTAATTTTTCTGATTCAACCATAAACGGTTCTTCTTTATTTGTACGATTAGATACACCATTAAGTGAAACACCGACAATTGTTTTATGTAAATTTTGTGTATCAATCGCAACAAATGAACATTGATCACGAAGAGATTCATCAACAACATGATCAGCCCATGCTAATGGTTCTTGTGGTATATCAAATTGAAGCATAGCATTAAGAGGTTCTTGTATAAAAAATGAACTCATCAAAAGATTAATTACTGACTGACGATGTTCAGGTAATAAAGGAATTATTTCAATATTAGATGAAGTTGATAATGAAGCCATATAAAGGATAAAGAAAATAATATCATTACTATATTTCAATAATATCATATGCAATTTAATAAATTGTTTGAATATTACAGATAATGGATAAGATTGTAAGTATACAAGAAATGAAAATCTAGCCCTCTGTCTTTATGTTTAGTTTCTTGTAATTAAATACTAGTATTTATAGATATTTATTTTCCCCGACAAATGTTCTATACCCTTTAAACGGCTAGAAAACAGCTCCGAAGAAGAAGAAGAAGAAAAAAGAGCGAAGGCAAAAGCCTCCTCTTTCATATTTTGTTCTTGCCCTTTTGCGTCCTATTTTCTGTTGTTTATATCCTTTGTCATTGTCACACATTGATTTATCGGTAATAAAAAAGAAATTACGGTTGTCAGATAAGTTTTCTTTATGGCATTATTACTATAATAAATAATCATATTTTGATTTGAATAATTTTTGAAAGATTCGCCCATAAAATAAAACACATGGACATATGAGAATAACAAAAAGAAAAATAATAAGTATGATAATTGTAGTTTTATCACTTGTTATAGAATAATGTTGATTTAAATTAGTTTTATTCATTATTTAATACTTCAAATAGAAAAACAAAAAGCGCAAAATAAAGAGATTTGCATTAAATTCTAGGAAATAGAACTTATGTTTACCCATGAATTATTAGCTTTTTTTATCATAAATAAATAAACCCATTTAAACTTACTGTGGATATTAATATCGTTGCATTTAATTTACGATTGTTTGATTTTTAAAGTATCGTTAAATGAAATATACTCATTTATTAATAGTAAACGGAGAGAAATGGGATGAACTTATTAAAAATATTTTCAAGTAATCTTATATTTATTTTTATATCATATCACACTAATTATTGTATGTAATTTATGCTAGATCGTTATTAGAAGCGATACGATAAAAAACAAATAATAATGTTTAAATGAATACTTATCAAATTATAATAATATTATTTATATATTTTTAATAGAACTATCGATTCGTTGAAAACTTGAAGGGAAACAATAGTGCTATGATAGAAATAAAAAAAAGGAATTTGTTTTCATATTAATCATGTTACTTATGTCATACTTCTCTATTAAAAATGACGAAGGTTGTTATCTATTGAATCATTGTTTAAATATTTTAATGGCTGTTATTTTTAAATACTCACATGATAACAAATAATATGCATTATAAATACCTAACACTTCAATTTTTTTGAAATATTAATTTAGTATATAATATTTGAACTCATTTTCTATATGATTGAAAATCTTGTTCGTATCATTCTTATAAATTGTGTAAAACACACGAATATCATTATATACAACGATTACGATAAACAAGACAATTTCTTGCGTAATAAATGTTTGAAGCAGATGAAATGTACACATCATTTCTGCACGAATATCTAAATGCCTGAATAAACATTAATTTTGTTATATCATGTTTATCAAATAGAGAAAAAACTATATTAAAATTATATTTTTATAAGCAAATTGATTTTTGTTATGCATTTTAATTATTTTTTTGGTAGTTGTTTTTAGTAGAATATGTGTATTATTATTTGTTTTTACTAACAATAAGTACTTCATTCATTTTTCTATGATTCATGTTCAGGATCTTTATAGGGGTTGGTTGACTTTATCGAGCGAGAAAAAGAGAAAAAGAGAAAAAAAAGAAAAACAATTATGCGTCATCAGCTCTATGAGAAAGAGAAGAACAATAATACGACGTCTAGGAGTAGAGAAAAGAACGTTGCGTTGAGTGAAGCAAACGAGTACAGACAACTAAAACATTTTTTATTGTCTAAACGTTGTTTATTATCTTATTTAGATAAAAGAAAAATCATGAAATTGACCATTTTTTTTCTTATATTATTTTTTCCAATGCTCATTTATGGTGATGATGAATCAGTAAATTTATTAGTACGTTCATCTACTGAACCAAATGTTCGTCGATATTGTGTTTCAGTCGCTAAATTACCCAATGGTAATACAGTTAATATAACAGGTTTTGGTTGGCATAATCCATATATTGCATCCCCAATGGTCAATGGTTGTAATGTCACAGATCTTAGAAATCTTTTACCAAGTACATTTCCATTAAAAACAACAATTATTCTATATGAACATCAATGTAAAATGACTGAACATGCATGGCATATCGAAAGTTTATTTGGAAAAAATATATCTTTAATGATTTTAACAAATCGTACAAATACAAATTATGAATTATCATATAATAAAACAGCAATGCCTGTATCAATACCTGTTTTAATATTTTGGATAAATGATTTTAATAAAATCAATAAAACTTATACTAATATAAGTAACATTGAAATATCAATGAATTATGCTCCTGTTATAGAAAAAAAATTTCGTCCAGCTGTACTATTAATGTTTTTACTTGTTTTATTTATATTACTTTGTGGAAATTTTTGGGCAGCTGATGAATTTGTACGTAAAATTAAACATCGACATACAAATAAAGAAAATGAATCCGAAAGTGTAAATACTTCTCGTACATCAAATGATAATCCGGACACAGTATCGAACAATAATCCTAATATAATAGCAGAATCAAAAATAAATAAAAATACAAATTTAGATAATAAAACACCATCAAATAATGAACCGGCTATTATCTATATGCCTTATTGTATTATTGCACTTCTGTTAGTTTTTGCTGTTGGTTGGCTTTTACTCATTTTTTACTTTCCTAAAGTTATGATTTATATACTTCAAGGTAAGTCATTTTTTAAATCGTATTTTGTGTGTACTCTATTCAGGCGCAAGATAAATGATATATCACCTGTAATATCATAGACGCAGCTGAGTTACATGTCATTTATTTTTTGACACATAAATAATACGGTTATGTATTTTGGATATACATTACATCTGTCAATCAGTTAATTACTCGTATGAAGTATCTATCTATCATGATTTAGATCGATAGAAAAGTCCATTATTATGCTTTCGATTTGAGATAATCTTAAGCTTTAGTTAATGAATATTAACTGAAAAAAAATTATGGGTTTGTATTTGATAGATTGTCTCTAAAAAATCAATTTATTTCAGCGTAAAATGCATGATGAAAATCGTAACAATCTAAGATAGAGTTAAATAAATCCGATAACCTTTACATTTTACTTCAAAACAGTCACCTTATTTTATTGTTGGTTTTTTGTTACTTAATCCATATGACAAATAATATTTTTATTTATTTTTTTAGCTATGTTTTGTATTGGTGCCTTTTCTTCATTAACTTCATGTTTTGATCGTTTGAGTTATTTTTTACCAATTTTACGTCGTTATCGTACACCATCACATACTTGTCATAAACCATGTACCTGTCAATTAGGTCCATTTAATGTTTTTACTATATGTGCAATGATTATTTCGTTAACAATGATAATTATTTGGTATATATATCGTCAAGCTGAATGGGCATGGGTTTTACAAGATCTTCTTGGTGCAGCTATCTGTATAACAGTTACATCTGTTTATCGTCTTGGAAATATGCGTGTTATAACATTAATATTACTTGGTTTTTTTCTTTATGATATATTTTTTGTTTTTATTACACCATACATTCCATTTTTTCAACCATCTAGTCCTAAAAATACATCTACAATAACGACAACAACAACAACAACAACAATGTCACCATATACTGTATCAAATGTTCAGACAATAGTTGGATATCGAAAAGTAGCAAGAAATCCATCGGTTATGGAACAAGTTGCGTTAGGTATTGGAACTAATGGAGAAGTCGTTCCACTTTTATTTGCTCTACCTATGTTTATACCTGAATCTGAAATTGATCCATGTATGACAATAAGAAAATCAATGCTCGGTTTTGGTGATGTTATTTTACCAGTAATTTAACTTTTTTTTTTTATCAAATATATATATTTCTTTTATTCTAGGGTATTTTACTAACATTTTGTAAAATATTTGATATTGCTAGTGAAAATCGTTGGCCAATTTATTATGTTCAATCATTAGTATCTTATTTTATTGGTTTATCTTTAACACATGTTGCATTGTATGTCATGAATACAGCTCAACCAGCACTTCTCTATTTAGTACCTTGTATACTTTTATCAACAATAATAACTGGTCTATGTCGTGGTGAATTAAAAGAACTGTTTCATGGACGACGTCTTCAATCATTACTTGATGGTAAACCAAAACATGTTGAAAGTTCATTATTAGCTGCTTCAGAAAATTCAATAAACGAACAAACACAACAATCAACTGATGTTGTTGTTGGAATTAGTGATGCAGTTGGAGCAGTTACTGGTGTAGAAAATCGATAATTTACAATATGTATAAAAAAAAACATTAAATAAATAAATGATTTTTATTATGATAAACATACCATACGAATAAAATAACTGTTTAAAACAGTGCTACAATGAATACATCACAGGTGTTGTTTAATAACGCATGAATGATCTAACGCACAAATTTTTACACTTTAATGCTTACATCTACTAGCGATCATTGTTATAGTAAAAAAACAAAGCGAATGTAAAGATTAGTCTAATTTGATAATAAAAAGGGTATTCTGGCTAAGAAAAATATCAGTCAGATATTATATATTGTTTATTTAGTGAATGTAGAAGGATTTATTAGAGCCTTGTAGTCTTATTATGCTTGACATTACAACGAAATAGAGTTTATAAAGTAGAACAATATTATAGTCATTATTATTAATGTACTCGATTCATATGGGTTAAAAGCAATTATATGCGTATTTGATGTAAATCTATGAGATTTTTTTTCGCACTATTGATCTGCTTTTATCATAGATAGTGTAAAAAGTTTAATCAATCACTAAACTGTTCTTTGAATTAAATAAATTCTTTATTCTCTATGTTAAATCTATAGAATTATATTTTTTTCAAATGCATATATACATAGCAAATCCACGAGGAAATGTAACTTTATTTTCACTTAGATTATGTATGTATTTTTGTTGTTGATGAATATTATTCAAACATAATGTTCCACTTCAAATTCTATTGGACATTTTCTATTGTTCTTAAATATTGAGTTTTTATGATTTCCTTCCGGTAAGATTTGTTTTTTCATTCTCATCATAAACAAAGCTTCTTTAATATTTATTATATTTTAATAAAAAAAGTTCATTTTTTATTCTATTGAAATAAGTAGATAAAATACTTTAAGGTTCTACAATAGTCATTAAAGAATATGCCGACCTTCTTTCTTTCTCTGTTCTTAGTCTCTTTTGTTTCGTTCTGTTCTTTTTTTTCCGAAACAGAACTGGACTTAAATCAACACAAGACTAGAAGTTATCAGTGGAACAAAAACATATATAGACGAATGATGATGAAGCAAAAAAACAAGGCATGTGCACGATTGTTTTTTTGGTGCCTCTATTTTCGAGGGATTAAAAAAAAACGATTTACAATCTTATTCCCCTTTTCATCATGATAAAATGTCCCTTAACAATAATAACAGACATATAAATGAACATCTAGTTCTATACATATGTGATCTAGTGGTCAATTTTCTTTATGTATACATGAACGTATTGTTTTGTTTGCACTCGTGTTTGTTGTTACTGAAAGACGAGTAGTACTCTCTCTCGTATATATATGTATATATGCGAGCACGAACAATTGTAAGGCTTTGGCAACGATGACAAAATTCATGTGGATGAACTACTTCATATGACTACCTGTCTAAGCAAACATTTGACCATCAACGAACGAAGAGAAGAGAGAGAAAGCAAGAAGAAAAAAATATGAATGGTAAATAAAGAAGAAAGACATAATTTGACAACGAAAACGAACACTCGTATAACGCTCATGGCATGCCTCGTTTTTTTTCTTCTTCTTCTCTTTTTCTCGTCGTCTTCGTATTCTTTTCTTTTCAACTGATGGTTATGGTAAGTAGTCTATTTCATGATGCATGTACGTATGTTTGCTCTTCATGTCGACAACGGAGAAAAAACACGAAAAAGAGTAAGAGACAAGAGGTTTGTGTTTTTTTCTTTTTCTTCTCCCGTTTTCTTTTTTTTTGAAAAAATGTTTCGATAAGAGTGGTTGTAAAAAAAAGGAGAAGACGAGTGCATTTAAAAAAGGTCGTCGACATTGTCGTTTTGATGATTAAGCATTTAAAACAGAAAAGCTTTTAATGTACTGACTAAACGAGAGAGATAGTGCTCATTTTTATTTGCTTTAGAAAAGATCGTTTTGTATTCATTTTGTTGGTCAGTCAGACAGTCCGTCATCTTTTCTCTCACCATAGAGCCTGAGGCAACTTTTTTTCGTACAATAGAAAGAGCTGTACATCGACGAAAAGGTGAAATGTCGTAGAGAAAGGAAGAGAGAGAGAGAGAGACGAGACGAGAAAAATAGAGAGAAAGAAAAAGGAGCGATATGAATTAATGCAATTATATGCACACGTACATCGAAAAGAGAAAAAGACATATTGACGACGAGGCATCCAGCAGAGTACTATTTTCTTTCTCAATTTTTGATTAGTTTCAACAATTTAAACTCACTATTTAGCGCGCCTATCAACTTAATTAACTATTATATTATATTGGCTGATGAATAATGACGGTCACGGTCTGATGATGATTATTGAACAGATAAATGTTTAAATAGGTATGTGTCTTAAAAGAAGAGAATTGACAATTGTCACATGGATATTTACCGGTAGCACTCACTGAGCGCGAATGTTCGCAGTCAATTTGTAAAATAATATTATTGACTAGAGCACTTCGTGCTTTGGGAAATCCGGCATAGACGTCTATTATCTTTTAATCTATAATACATTATTTTCATTTGAAACAAAATGAAACCTTTCAAAAACAATGACTTCATTTTGTTATTATTTTATATCCATTATATACAATAATGTATAATTATAAAAATTGCTTTTTTTTCGATTATTGACAAAGTTTAATTTAAGAGTAGTACATATATACTCACTATCTATTAGAAATTTTACAATCTTTTATTATAGTACATATACTTTCTTTTTTTTTGTCGACACACAGAAATGATAAACTGCTACTACTATACAATTCAATGGACAAAAATGGAAGAAAATGTTTGCGATTTGTTCTGAAAACCATATGATGATTTTATCTGCTCAACAATAACCAAATATTCTAGAATAAGATCTAATAGATGAATGATATATTTATTGTATTAATTTGCTAACAGTTTATGTACTACATTCTTTTAAATTTGATTTTAATAGGATCAATTGATTATTACTGGAAGCAAAGCAATTGTAAGAACACGAATGATGTTAAAATAAAAAGTTCTAATAAATTGATTCTTATTAAGAAATGTTCTTTCTTTAAAATTGTACTTAGAAATAATGAAAAAAACGGTTTTCGATATAAAATCACTACATATTAACGAGTAATTGATACACTAATAAAATATTAATAATTTATTTGAAATGACCAAGAGAAAAAACAACTTAATTATCACGTATTGGCTGATTACTATAAGCTTGAATAAAGACAAAAACTGATTATGTGAATAGTTTTACTGAGAGATAAGTTATATGTATTCAAAAGGAATTTTACAACTTTTATTCATTCGAAATCAATAGTAAAAGGCATAATCTTATTTAAATGATCGATATATGAATTTTCAATATTTGCACATCAATAATACGATAATAAGCTTGTTTATTACAGTTATAATATTAACAATTTTGATAGTGATTTAAGAAAATGTATCCAATCAAATCAGCAAAAGACTAGTTAGTATTTGTGTATATAATCATAGGTAATATTTACCGCAAGTATTATTAAACTGATTATAATTTTGTACAAAACAATGTGGATAACTAATTTTTATTTCATAAAAATATTAAATGATTGATTAAATCCGATTATTTATTTATAAAATAAATTTGTTATCAGTATTATCGATGATTTTTGAGTCACAGCAAGATTAAATTTGTCTTTCACTATAAAAAGAAAACGGCTTAGTATATTCTGTTTAGTAACTGCTTATATTCATTGATTAAATTGACAAAGAAATTGGATCACAGATGTGTATACTCACATATACAATGATTAGGCTCATGTATCGTCATAGGCACAAGAACAAAAAAAATGAATGAAAAAATTTATACAATCATTTATAATATTTTAAATCCTTTCATTCTTTTCCTATTCTTCTTTTGAACATTATTCTAGAATGCATCCGCAATATTCAACAATTCATTATATGAAAGAACAACGATTCAATGATAAATTTCCTTTATCAATTGTAGCAACATTAGCTGTTCTACAAATGTTAACTACATTTGCTATATTTTCTTTAGAAGTTGGACATAATATGCTTCATATAAAATTAACAAATTTATTTGCAGGATTTTGGACAGCAATACCATTTACTGTTTTATGGATATCAATGTTTGCAGTTGGTAAGTTATTCTTATATTGTTTAAATACAATTATTTTAATTTTATTTCCATTTAGTTTGTTGTTGTCGTCGACGAAGTTGTGCAACACATGCTGTTATACAAAATATTCTTGGATTTAGTTTTGCTTGTGCTTTAATTGGAATTAATATAGCATTTATACGACAACCAAATAAATGTTTTTTTACTGAAGGAATTTGTCGAACATTATCATGGACTAGTTATATATCTGATCCAATTGAATGTTTAGTCGATGGTCTCACAACTGGTTGTGGTAATACACGAATATCTTTAATTATAGCTCAACTTGCTTCTGGTGTTGTTATGGCTATGACATGTCTTATCTATTTAATTATCTATATTATAATAACTGTACGAACATCAAAAGTAAACCAAGGTCAAGTAGTAACACCAGCTGAGGCTGTTTTGGCACCTGTATATCAATCAAATGCAAAACAATTTCCAATGTCTGTTAGTCATCATCATCAATCTTGCACAATATCTTCTAATCCATATCAAGGATCAATACCTGGTATGATGAGTGTCTATTCACCACAAGCATCAGGATTACCCTCGGAAAATAATTATTTAAATTACAATTCACCAAATCAATATGCAACGATATATCCACATGCTGGAAATGAACGATTTTAATTTGAAAAAGAAAAACATAATTTGTAAATCATTTAACAATAAATAGCAAACATGAAACATTTTTCTTTTTATTTACTTATCGATTGAGTTGATCAAGTATCGATTCAATCCTATCTTCATCAATAACACCAGTAAATCGACTAATTTCTTTACCATTTTTAATAGCCACTACTATAAAACACATAGAAAATTATTCAACTATTATTTTAGATCAATTAAGAATTTAGCTTTATCTTCAATTTACCTGTTGGTACTGCTTTTACATTATATTTATGACTTAAATCACCGAATTTATCTACATCTACTTTCGCCAATACAATATATTGATCACCGGATGATGTGTCGACATTTTTATTATAATTCGTAATTATTTTCTCTAATCTTGGTTCTATTTAACACTCAAAAGTATATTTATCATTACAAAAAAGTTCTTCAAATTACCTAGGATTCTACATGGTCCACACCTTAAAAAAACAAAGTAAATGTTTCATTCTGATTTAACTATAAAATTCTTACCAACTAGCATGAAAATTTACAATAAATGGTTTTCTACTATCGAGAACTTGTTTTTGAAAATCTATTTCATCTTGTACACGAAATATATCATTCGACAAATATAAAGTCGATGTTTGAAATTGTCGAGAGATATTTTTTATCGATAATCTTCGTAAACAATGAATTGACATTATATCAAAGATAGATTTCTATTTTCTTTATATCTATAAAATGATTTCATTCATAAACTAGTCTTTATTTGTATATACAAACAACAAAATATATCTGCATATAACGCAGAAGAATCAATAACACACACACACACACACAAGCTTCAAAAACAAAAACGAAATATCATTCAAATGTTTTTTCATATACTATAAATATTCAAAAAAGAAATCAAGTCAAATTTCATTATGTTGGACTTATAAGTCGATTAGAAAATGGAAGACGTTTAGCCATCGATAATGATTGTTTATCTTCGAATGATGTATGAATTGGAGAATTATTTAATCTTAAAAACAATTAAATATATTTAACAAAAATTTCAAAAATAAGAAATTTACTTTATTGAATTGTCCGATGTTAATATTAACTAAGAAAATAAAGTAAATTATTAATAATTAAAAAAAAACGATTTACTTCATTATCGATTGTAAACCAGAATGAAAGATCAGATGCATATATTTGAGCTAATTTTGCATTTTCTAATGCAAGAAATATATTCGCTAATGGAAAATGATGATGTTCAAGAATACACATAATAAAATCAATTGTATATAATGTAATATGATTTAAAGATGGAATATTAATTTGTTTAAATATTTCCAGATTAGAATCACGTGTTATATGGATAGATTGATATTTCATAGTTAAAGCCTAGACAAAAGAAATATTCTTTTGTATAATGATATTGTATGTGTACTTACATAATCTTCGATAATAT